GTCATAGTGATCCCATGCTGGCATTCTAGGGTTAATCCCATCTTTCCAATGACTTAATGGCCTTCCTTGTCTTTTCTTGTTGACTACTGACAGCTCTAATACTCTCTTTATTGCTTATTTTTCTCTTCTCTTCACATGACTGAACCACCTCAGCCTTGCTTCTCTTGTCGTTTCCTCGATTCCACAGACTCCTGCCATTTCTTTAATTTCCTTATTCCTTCTTTTTTCTTTCAGTGACACTCCCAACAGCCATTTAAGCATTCTCATTTATTCAAAAACAAACTAATGTTAAAGAAAATAAAAACTTGTGTTCAACGAAAATGAGATGTGTGTTGCTGCTTAAGCAGTAATTTGGAAAACATATACATTTGTTTCTTGAAGGCTCAATTCAGTTTCTGAGTTGATTAAGTGCTGGTGAATTGAGTGCATTCTGTAAAGGTTTTTCTGTTGTGCTATTTCATGTTTCATTACATTTGTATTCATGTGATTTTCATCTTCAATATTGAAGCCTATTTTTACATATTACTGATCTGGTTTACTTGTTTTGAAATAAGCTGAAAAGTAACAAGTTATTTCTCTTCTCCTGTATCAAAGAAGAGTAAATTGGATAAACACAATTCAGTTAGAGCTAGTTAAGAACAGTATCAGGTAATGTCAACTTTAACTTCATGTAGAGTGATAAAGTATGAAAAGACTGCAAATGTGATTCAAAAGTTACCCACATATTGTTGTATGAAGATGTTAATGACAGTGATGCAACTTAGACTTAGTGAACTGCCTGACTGTTGGAATTTGGATAACAAAAATCAACTTTGTTCAAAGCATGAATGGCTGTGTAGTATGTAAAAATGTTGGAATGCTTGGAGTTAAAAAAATAGAAAAAAATGGGGCTGAAAATCTCAAAAAATTACCCACTATGGCAATTAACTTTTTTGCATAACAAAATATTTGAACATAAAGAAGGTTCAGCCCATAAAGCTGTTTTGAAACTGGCTTCAGAAGCACTAAAGGAGGCACAAGATAATGTATGCATAAAAGCTGTGGCTTACAACAGAGAAATAACTGCCAAGATGTTTCAAACAGTTTACAAAGTAGCCAAGAAAAACAATAATTCAATGATTCTGAATCTGAGATTGATGTACAGAAATTAAACGGCATTGATATGGGATGCATCATAGTGAATCATACTAGAAAAAAGAGATGAGAAAATCCCTCATTAAAAACATTATAGAATCTAAATCTGAGGTTTGCCTGCTAATTGATGAAAATGCCACACTCAACCAAGTGTCCACTTTAATCTCCTACATTTGTGTTTTTCTGTCAGGTACTAAAATGACAATTTCAGTGAACCTGTTAATTGACTTGATTGAACTAAGCAATGTCTCTCCAAAAGGCAGTTGAAATAGATAACACAGACATGCAAAAGAAAGAAGCATTTATGTAGGTCTTCATGAGAAAATAATGTTGGCTGAATTTCTTTTGGATCTTGGATTGATGTGTGACTTGCTGCAAGAATTATCAGAGCTTAACCTTAATCTCAAGTCTTAAGATGTTATTTTTGAACACAACCTATCAAAAAAATAAAAAAATCAGGTAAAAGCTTTTGAAGAAAGAATCCTGAAACAGAGACTATATTACAATAATCATGTCATTACTGCTGTTGAGCGAATGGAATTTAAAAATGTCTCTCTTCACAAAATAGATAAAATTATTAATCTACCCATAAATCCTGGAGAGTCTTATCAAAGATTAAAGTAATTTATCAAAAAAAGTTACTAGGTGATGATGCATATTTACCACAATGGGCCAAGATGTTAGACCCTCAATATTAGCCAGATAGTGTCCAACAACATTTAACTTACAATTAAACTGAAATTCAAAATTTGTACAGAAGAGTTTGGTTGAATGATAAACAAATAGTTCAAGAATTTTGTGAATATCTGCAAGAAAAGAAAATACTAGCCACACTGTTTCCCTTTCAAAGCATGTTGGCCTTAGTGCCAATTTCCAAAAGCAAGTGTGAGAGAAAATTTTCCCAAATGAATTTAATAATCACACAGACTAGATCTTCACTTTTGACATCTACTGCATCCAACCTAATGTTTATCAGAATGGTTTGCAATCTACTTTGATCCAACAAAGTATACCACATTGTGGCTATTCCAAGGTCAGCATTCAGCAACAAACACCAAAAGCAAGGCACAAAAACATGATGATAGAAATGTTGATGAGAATATGACTCACGAGTCTATTGTAAGGTAAGATTAACAATTATTACTAAACATTACTCTTAAAGAAATTAAACAATTTTCATTGCTGTTTTATTGTTTGCTTGTTACATGACAAAGTTTTAAACATCATAAGATGTTCTTTTGGATTGGAATGGTCATGGGGTGGGAATGGAGTAACAACTGGAAAAGACTGTAGAAAATATAAGAGAGTTTTGGAACCTTTTTACCCAGAAAAAAAAACTGCATGTATATAGTCTATAAGACACCTGCATGATTTAGAACTGCTGGTAAATAAATTTTACAATGCATTTTTGTTAGCTCTGTGTTTACAAAGTTTAAACTGGTATGATGGACATCTGTAGCATACAGCTTAAGGTCAGAATAAGGTGAAAACAAAATGGTCACCAAAACAGCTAAATCGCTATAATACTTAATGTATTTAAGCTAAGTTCAAGCAATATACAACACTAATATTGGTAACTTTATGCAGTTATTTGTTTCATTTGACACACAGCAGTTAGGACAGCCACTATCCCATTTGCCATTCAATCATCATCGTCATCATCAGATGTTTCCTGGTTATAGACTGGGTCTTCCTCAACCTCTGTTCTCATGTTTGTACAGTGCTGGAGTACACATGCATCTGATGATGCAGGAACAGACTTTTTGTTTAAAAGCACATTTGCAATTGCATGCAAGTAGATCTTGAACCATGTCAGGGGCTGGGGATCCACTCATCCATTTGACAATCAATTTTTGGTCATCACTCAACATCCAGCCATGTCCATCCTGGGGCAGTGGTATATCAGGGAACTTATTCAAGCAGCGTTGCCAGATCCCTGTCTGATAATTGGCTCATTTGGCATGAAGAAGAAGAAAATCTTCACAAGGGGGAAGATGTCCTCATTTCATGGCCCAGCATGGCCAGGTGATTAGAACACTTGACTCACAATTTGAGGGTTGTGGGTTCAAATCCCCATCCCACCAAACATGCTTGCCCTTTCAGCCATGAGGACATTATAATGTGAAGGTCAATCCCACTATTCCTTGGTAAAAGAGTAGCCCAAGACATGGCAGTGGATGATGATGACTAGCTGCTTTCCCTCTAATCTTTCACTGCTAAATTAGGGATGGCTGGTGCAGATAGCCCTCGTGTAGCATTGCACAAAATTTAAAACAAACCTGATTCCACTTTTCCCCTTTTTTACACAGAAGGGTTGATGATGCATGTCATTTACACTGGATATTTTTGTTCTACATGAATACAGCCTGCACGTGAATTCCTGCAGTATTTTAAATGTGTCTGGTGATAATAACCATTTTTTACTAAGCTGGAAAATTCATTCTGGTATGGTGTACTTCCAGTAAGCAAATTTAATGCACTAAGTTTTCATGTCCAGTAAAGGCACTGATACTGTCACATCCAGTGAATGCATGCATTCCCATCAAAACCATACTCGCATTCTCTCCAAGGGCTGCAGAGAGTTTTTGTATATCAATCAACTGAGTACTCTGCTTTGTCCCTCATATGATATACAGCTTGCAGGTTATCTTGTAGCTGACAATTAGGCAAAATATCAATACATCTGTATCCTCTGCCACAATGATAACTGATTAATTTTCTGGAGCAGCATGTTGTGCATACAGCAGGAGCCTAGTGTCTGTCTCCTCCTGTGTTGTTGTGAGATCTTCAGACCTTTCTACTGTCTCCTGTGTAATTCTGAAGCACTTATTGGCTCATGGTGCATACAGGGCTTTGGTACCAAGTTTTTGTCTTTGAGTCTCTGTTTGTCAATCCTCAGCAAGGAACTGTAGCAGTTTGGTTTTACTGGTATCACAAGAAAGCAACCTTCTCCTGTTCTTGATTCTGTGCCCAGGTCTTATCTCATTAAACACCATTCCCTCATTTTATCATCTATTTTCATGTGCAACAGCTTGGATGGACCACTCAGGATATACATCAAAAATCACTTCAATTCTTTCACTTTTCCAACCACATACTGGCTTTTATGTTCTATTTTTCTTTCTTTAAATGCTACCAGAACATTGTTAGAATTGACATTGGTTGCATATCCAAGTGCCTTTAGATATAAATGAAGGTAATTAGTGAGAGTTTAATTCAAGCAGATACAGAGCATTTACCCATTTCTGTGAGTTAGGTGGCCATTTTGTTTTTTCCATATCCTAACCCTAAGCTGTGAGCTACAAATGGCCATCACATTATTTTGACTCATAAGGACAAAGACCTAACCAAAAAGCATTGTTATGTTTATTTACCCTAGGTGGTAACAGACTTGCACACAGCCTATAGACTAATACATATATATTACATGACAGCTGCAAATATATACAGAGAAAACAAATTTGATATTAAATTATATTTTCATATTTATATACTATATAACAAAATATTCACATAATGTTCCATACCTTTGATGCTGTATACATATTGAATCCACTGTCTCCCTAACAAAAAAATAAAACAAAATTATAAGTTAAGAAGCTAAAAAAGTTAAAAAAAAAATTAAAAATGAGTCCTGACTTATTTATGGTTTACCATAAGAAACAAATATTAAAACTATCAAAAATTACAATAATAGATACACATCAGTAAGTAGTATGTAATAATCCTTAATTTTAAACTTCCATTATAATGCACATACAACATGTTCCTTCATTTGAACACTACAGAAATAAAACAAAATTAACAAATAACACAATTACACACATACAAACAGTTAAAAAACTATTTAACTCATTAACTTATATTATTGTTTTGTTTTTTGTTCATTTCTGACAGACATCTGTTTTTCTATTAACTTGAAAAAAGCAACAAAAATACTTGGAGATATGTAACATATAAAATAGTAGCTATTAACCAAACTGAGTTAAGCATTTGTCTACTGCCATAATGAACATTATAAACACCAACAAAAAAATTTCCAACAGTATAATATCTATGTATATACAAATAAATTGTTTTGGACTAAATGGAGAAAAAAAAAAGTGATGCAAAAAGCTAGAAGGTTTCATCAAAAGTATGTTTTTCTTCCTGCTCATTTTACTCTTAAATCCATAACTAGTACAGAATGTAACTTTAATTGGTATATCCAGATAATTTTGCTAAGCACTGATGCAGGTGTAATGCTATTGTATGGAACCTTTAGATAAAGGTTACATCTTTTTGTACGCTTATACCTAATTGGACCTGTTTCTATATCATGCTCCAGTGAATTGAGATCATACTCATTCCAGGTTGGAGGTTCTCTTTTTTAAATATCTTTTTAACAGTTTGTATTGCTGGGCAGATTCTTTTGGATTATGATGAGTAAAGGACAACTCAAACATCACGTACAATCTAGTTTATTACTTATAGAGGATAAGCTTCATTAGTTTATAATTTACAATTTATATAATTGATATTTGAAACCATCACTACTTGGTGGAACTCCATTTATTCAAGACCATGGTTTCCCTAGTAAAGGTGTTCTTTCTTAATTCTGTATTTACAAGTTACTTTTTGTGATGATATATCTAAATACTTGATAGGTCAGTTCATTTCAACCACATATCATTTCACACTTTGCACTTCCAATCAGAATCATGCATCAACCATATTTCTTATTTGTCAGATGATAGTCAATATAAACTGCTACTGCATTTCCCCATTATTCCAACCAATATATGCCTTGGTGTTGAAATAAATCTCTAGAAATTTCTAATAAACAGACAAAGAGACTAAATCACTCAAACACGACATATTATGTGTTTCTCTAAACAGACAAAGAGACTAAATCACTCAAACACGACATATTACGTGTTTCTCCCAGGGTTTAAAATCTGGGAACATGAACATTATGAAGCTCACTTATGAGAGAACTCAAGGGAAGAGAAACACATTGACTGACAAAACTAATGACTCTATTATAAAAACTGGCAACATTTTATTTTGTAAGAGGCCAGATTTCTATTTTTTAAGGACTTTATTTAGAAAATTCTATTTTTTAAGCACTGTTAAATCTTAGGGCTGGTTATAACAATTTTTAAGGCTTTTCAAGGTTTTTTGAGGACCTGTAAGAGGCCTTGTTAGGAAAGTAATCCCATCTTAAACAGATAAAAGTTTGTGTTGTGAGATCTAGAAATCTGTACTGGACAATTTTGGACAAATAAACCTTGATATCATAAATACATCAGTCTCAGGTGAATATAACAAACTGTCATAGCACAATTTTTTTTAAACAAAACAAATATTAAAAATGAAGTTCCAACAAATATTAACCCTTCCTTTTTGTAGTGCATTGAACAAAGCTTATATTCAGACAGAAACATTTTTAATGAAAAACTGAAAAGAGACAAGTAAGCTAAACAGGAAGTATAGATTTGTTGAATCATATGTATCTATCTTTCTGTGGTTGTTTTGTGATATTTGTATATTCAGCACAGATGTAATAGTTTACTTTTGTTGTGTTATTTAAGGCTTATAAGGGACAGGGTACTTATATTTGACAAGTGATACAGATTTGACTGAATTTTAGACTGTTTGTTCTGGACTGATATTAAAAGTTAGGATATGTCTGAACTTGTAACTGAGCTTATCAACACTAATCAGTAACAGCTAACTCTATCACCATTTAAGTACATACAAATATAATTCATTGTCTTGTATAATGAAATCATATCTATCTTTCTGTAGTAGTTTTGTGATATTCGTATACTCAATGTGGATGTAAAAGTTTTCTGTGGCTGTGTTATTTAAGGCATATAAGTGTGGTATTCCAAAAATAAACCTAGCATACAGTTACCTGACCTTCATAATAACTAAAGATTTCAGGGTCCAGAAAGCAAAAGGACAGGTGTAGTGACTTGTTATAAGTGTAATGAAAGAAACAAGACTTTATATGAATTTGAATAAAAAGAAACAATTTAATGACTAAAGAAAAAACAGAAGAATGGTCAATAACTAAATTAGAACTATTGCATTGTGATAAAAATAATGAAGGAAATAAACTGTATCATGGTGCAAAGTAAATGAAAGAAAACCGTATTTATACAAAAAGAGAAATGAAGATAAACTATACTGAAGATAACACACATGATCAGTAACTATTAAACTGAATAATGACTCCATCAAAACAGAAACGAATCAGCTGAAAAGTCTAAGAAATGCTCCCAAATTTCACATTCTCTCTGTGACTGACAATCAGAAAATTAAATGAAAAGTATCCTGAGATATCTCTGCTCCATGTGACAATTGTAGAGCAACCTTACATACATAAGGTAAAACAGGACAGTACAACTATCCCATAAAATGGTAGATAATAGCTTCTGTAACTAAATCCTGCTAGAGAAATATTTATGGCTTAATTAACATATAACATAACATTAAAAGATAAAAAGAGACCTTTTGGTCCATCTAGGCCATCCAATCCACTAAATGAAACGAAACACACACAAAAAAAAGCTATTCCTTATCATTCAAATATTTATCAAGCTTTCCCTTAAACTTCCTCAGATTAACTGAATCTATTACATTTGAAAGCAACCTGTTCCAAAGGCCAACCACCCTGTTAAATAAATAAATAAAGCTACTTTATTTGAAGATGATTCCTACCCTCACAAATTTATACTTGTGTTCTCTTGCCTTACCATTCTCACCATTAAGTAAAAACAAAAAAAGGAAGATGCATCAACACTACAATCAATTCCATTTACTTAAACACCTCAATTAGATCCTCTCTAACTCTTCTTACTTCAAGAGAAAACAAGTTCATAGGCCTTAATCTATGCTTGTATGACAACCTTTCCATCACATCATCCTAGTAGCTCTCCTCTGAGTCTTTTCCAAAAATTCAGTGTCCTTTCTAAGGGAAGGAACCCAAGATTGAACACAGTATTCCAAATGCAGCATAACCAATGACCTATAGATTGAAATTATAACCTCTTTAGACTTGTATTCAGTAATTCTGTAGATAAAACCTAAATTCCTATATGTCCTGTCACTAGCTAGAGAACAATGCTTAGATAGTTTAAAGGACTAATGAACCAGAACACCAACATTTTTTTTCTTCTATAACACTCTTATGGTTATTTCCATCAAAACTATACTCATAATTCAAAGTTATTATAATTAAAATTCATCTTCCATTTATTTTCCCAATTCACCAAACAATCCAAATCCTTCTATAAAGCAGAAGCATTCTTCTCACAGCCAGCAACACCCTTTAATGTCATCAGCAAATTTAAATAATCTATTGACCATTTCTTCATCTATGTCATTGATAAAAATCAAAAAGAGCAAAGAAACTAACACTGAGCCCACTCATGACATTAATCCAGTTTGACTGAACTCCATATATAACAATCCTCTACTTTCTTCTGTCTAGCCACTTTTCTATCCAAAAAGCCAACCTATCCCATATACCTACAGCAATAATTTTTAAACAAGCCTTCTATACAGCACCTCGTCAAATGCTTACTGAAATTCCAGGTACATTAAGAATTTCAAAAGATTAGTAAGTGAAGATTTTCCTCTAGTGAAACCATGTTGACTATTCAATAAAATTTTCAACTTCATTAAATGACTTTGCAAAGTATATTTCATCAGACTTTCAAAAACTTTTCCCATCACTGACATAAGATTAATAAGCCTATAATTACTGGGACAATTTTTATCATCTCCTTTTAAAAAAGAGAGTAATATTAGCCAACTTTCAATCTTCTAACACCTGTCCACTCTTCAATGTGGCTCACATATCCAATCATTAAGCTCATTCAAAAACCTTATTATCTAGCCCAGGAGATTTATCATTCTTTAAACTTCCCAATTTTTCCTTAGCAGGCTCAGAATTAATATGATCATCTTGTTCAATCTTCTTTCCATCTAGCAACATTTCAGGATGAAGAACATTGCTCACACCCTCACTAGTAAAAACTAAAGAAAGAGTAGAATTTAATAACCCAACCATAATCATCAAATATTAGAATTACTGTATCATTCCTTAAATACCCTACTCCAATCATAATATTTTGCTTATCCTTAATGTATTTGAAGAAATCCTTAGTAATATTTTTTTATATTTTCATCCAACCTTTCTTTCATACAGATTTCTGATTTTCTAATTCTCGTCTTCTATAATCCTCCAAAGCTACCATCATTGTAGTCAGTTTAAACTTCTTATATTTATAATGCTTTTCTTTAATTCTATCCTTTATACCCTTTGTAAGCCAACATGATTTTTAACTTGCAACCATCCTTTTGTTTGTCTATAAGGAATATGCCTATCTTGAATGTTTAAGAGTTTATATCTAAAATTTTTCCACAGTTGATCAGTATCAATTTTGATCTCTTCAAAATTTGCTCTTTTGAAATTTGGAACCAAAGTCTCATTATTCTTCATCTTCATATGCAACAAAACATCAAATCTAATGCAGCAATGATGACATCCAGATGTTTGTTCCACAATCTCTATTTTATCAACTATTTCTTTATTAGAAGTTAACAATAAATTTGAAATAGCATTATTCCTAGTATGTTCCCTAACCAATTGTTGAAGAACACCATCCTGAACAGTCTCTAAAAACCTGTCTTCCCTCATGATTTGACTCGAACATTTACCAATTTATATGCATAAAATTAAAATCTCCCATAATTGTAACCTCATTAACAGTTGAATTTTATATCTCACTGTAGAGTTGCTTGTAAATTTACAAAGTTTATAATAAACATTTTAGTTGACTATACTCAGAAATATGTACATAATTGTGTATGCATAAACAATCACAATTTCACTCACTTACCTTGTCACCCTTTTCTCCTCTTTGTCCCTTAATAAAAAACAAACACAAACCAGTTTAGTCATTGTATTCTATTATCAAAATATTTATTTAAAATAATTAGGTTAATTATATTTTATTTTCTAATCTTCTGCACAGAACAACAAATTCTGCAACTTTTTCCCCAATGGAAATGAAGCAACTATAGGTTTGAGACTTAGCAATTAAGTGTTTTTGACCACAAAAAAGTGAGTACTTGGGATATACATACATAACTATACACACAAAAATAGCCGAACTTTTATTATCAAAATTAAGTATATTATAGATAAAACTTTTAAGAACATAAAAGCTTTTTCCACATCAAGAATACAAGGTTATCTTACTATATTACAATTACAGTATATACACCATTGTAAATTATTCAAAACTGTACAGCTATATCATATCTAAAAATATATATATATATATCATTCATTTGATGCACACACACACACATATATATATACATATAGATAGGGTTGAATATGCTATATTAGTAAATTTTGAATATGCAAATCAGTAAGTCACATAAAAACTACAACCAATATGAAACTATATTTTGACATTGTTTGTTGTTTCAATATTCAGATAAGACAGACAACTGTACCATTGAAACATGTAGCACATTTTCTACAAAAAACCTCACTATGCTTAAAAAAATCATTGTCTGTTAATTTACTACTCTCATTCAATCACTGTATACCTCAAGCAGCAGAAGAGTGAAATGGATTTTCATGCTATTCTATGACAAGACATAATAGTCAAGTCACTAGAAGCAATATCTATGGATTTCTGTGCACTAGTGCTGTTGAAAAAGGTGCTGAGAAACCACTATTCTCCTATACTGGATAGTCTACAGAAAGCATTTAAGTAGGAGTGGTGTGCTTTGGACATAACAGCCTTATGATGGAGCCTTTTACAGTAGAAACTGTGCTGCAGGGCTATTGTTAAGATGCACAGTCATCAAATAAAGCATCACGGGACATTGCAACACTGACTGTTACAATGTGGCAAGGCTCCAAAATCATTTTAATAAAATATATTCAACTCTCTGGGAGGTCTTTCCCACAATTTACTATTATTATATTTATTGATTAAATTGCAGTTTGTAAGAATTGTAACAAAATGTTTACTTGCCAGCTTACTATCCATTAGGTTTTAATAACACTACACATTTTTTTATATGTACGGTAATCTAATTTTCAATTTGCTAAACAACAAATATTCATTTTTCTTTTTTATATGCAAGCACTGTTTAAGATTGGTACTCACTACCACAAAACTTAGAAAATTACCTTGTGAATATAAATAAGAAATTGAACTTGTATTTGAAGAAGTATATTAATGATAAATTGCAAAAACAAAGCAAACAGAAAATCAAATTATTTTCTTACTTTTGCTCCTTCACGTCCTGGCATCCCAGGCAAACCCATTGGACCCTAAACATGCATCACCAAAGTGCACGTGAAAGTTAATCTTCTTGACCATGCAAGCAGAAGCACCTCTAAATCTAAAAGTGCTCATTCAATGAATGGAAAGTAATATTTAACAGTCATACAGACATATAACAAACCAATTAAACAGATCTTTTACATGCTTGGGTACAGCAGTAAAATGAAATAAATCATAAACATGCTAATAATTTGTACACATATGTTGAAAATATCAAACTGCTTGAAGTAAATAGGTCTTGAAGCAATAAAAAATTGCACATAGGAACAATAAAAAACATGTCAAGATATATAACAGAAGTAGGTTTCTCAAAATACTATATTAATATAAGCTCTCATGAAGAATGCAATCAATGCATATGATTCAGGAAATGCTTCTTACCAGTTCACCTCTTGGTCCCTCCATTCCTATTGCACCCTGAAAAATTAAAAGAATAAATATCTCTATCAGTAAATACTGTGTAGAAAAAACTAACACAAAATTGAAATGTGATCACAATGACAAACAACATTAACAAAGTGTAGAGTACTATAACAGAGAGAATGCTACACTCAAGGATCACTCCTAGGAAGATTAGATAATAAGTCAGGGGATCAAGAGGTTTTTAGAACATATTTCACTATCTATAGAATCCCTTTCCATTCATCACAGGCACCAAACGGAATAAACTAAGCAACACAAACAATGATGATGTAATAACTAGTGTATCATTAGTATAAAAACAAGTTATTATACTTCATTGTTTCATATCTTCTAATCTGCATGAAAATAAAACTTGTACTAAAATCAAAACATAACAATATGATAAGGCAATTATATTGTAAAAGTTTGATCCAATATAGAGTCAATATGTATACTACAAAATGAAATTTATGTTTCATATGCAAAAAAAAAACTATTATTGTTTCAACTTACTATGTTTAGTCATGCCAGACAGTTGCCATTATAAAATGCACATCTAATCTCATACAGTCACCATCTGAGAATGCATTTCAGTCATATTCTCCATATGTTTACCCCACTTCCAAAGAATGCCAAAAGGCATACATTATATTCTGATATAATGAGTGTTCACTATTCCAGTCAACATTTAGAAATTTATTAATCTCACTTAAATATTATTTACAGAACAAAATCTCACCGGAAAACCAGGCTTTCCTGGTGGTCCTTCAGGCCCCTAGAAAATAGACAAGAAAATACAAACTTAAAAGCTTCCACAAAAGTTATGAATGACTACTTTAAAAATAAGAGTATTGTACCACCCAAAAATTGAGTACATGGAAATTGGAATGGATATACATGCACATGTTTATACATTTAGTAAGGTCAACACAGGAAACCACATTTTTGTATACTGAACAGCTGGGCAACATGTGGAACAGAAGAGGATGTTATTTTCTTTTTTATATCAAACTGCTTCAAGATGGGTATCCGTTACCTTTCTCTCTATTCTTTCCAAATTATAATATATATATATATATATACAGAGAGAGAGAGAGAGAGACTAAAAAATCACACAGATTAACATACAGTGCAGTATCTGATTACTTTGTAAGGACACAATTCCAATAATAACATATTCTACTAACATTCTAATTTTCATTTCTTGAAGTAATAGTTTTACCTATTAGTATTATTTAGACACAGTAATCAAAATGTGCCATACCTTTAGCCCTGGTCGCCCTCTCTTCCCTCGAGGTCCTGGATTTCAAAATAAATCATTAAATGTTAGTTTTTTTAAGTGTATGCTAATAGTAATAGATCAAAATTTAAAATAACCACAAGCCAAATATCACGCTATTTTATAAAAGGCTACAAATACTGACATGTAAAGGACATATAATAAAAACACTACTAGTACTACTAATACTATAGTATTATCTAATCAAAAACACCTTAGTCTTAGGTGTGAAAAATGTGCGGCAAAAAAGAATTGAGCATGCGACTTAAAGAAATGAAATCAAAGTTGGCGGTCAAACACCAGTGGTAGCTACACTTACAACATTGATAAGAACTTTACAGCAAATATTTACTCATTAGTTAACCAGGCCGTGTTTTTTGTTTGAGCCATAATGGCAGGTGTACGCCTTTCACCTTATAGTTTTGCTGCTCTAAATCAACCATCTTTAATCCGAATGACAAAAAACTAAAAGTAGTCCACTTTTACTCTCAGGTGAAGCTGTAGTAAAAATGTTTGACCGATAACTCACGTGCCTTTTTGCGTAGGCGTGCGCAAAAGTTTTCGTTAAATTTGAGAAGTTTTTGTTGAATAACTTTGCAAATGTGACTTATATTTTGACCAAATTTGACATCTAATTGTAGGTTGTAAAGATTTATCAGTATACAAAGTTGGAGAAAAACACATAAAGGTAAGTACGTTTTTCTATCAAATAAAGTTTCCGTACTTTTAGTGCGAAGAAAATAAAATAGGATGAAATTCAATCAAAATTAAAGATTTTATATCTCATGTATTTCTTAATGGATCCCCTTGATATTTGGTATGTGAAGTAAGAGTCCAGTAGAGCACATCCACTGGAAATATATGATAGTTTGAATTACAACAGTTCGAGATACTAGAAATGAAAAATCGCTAAACTATCACTCCTGTTAATAACACACAGTGTGTCCTGCAGCAGGTTGTTTTGGCCGCACGACACACTACCGTATGTCTTGATTTGCTGTACACTCCAACTTCCAAGAGGTCATGTTTACAATTGTTCAAACTGATTCATATTTACTATGTTAAAAGTAAATTTCCTACTGGTGTGCATGTTTGCGATTGCAAAAAATAAAACAGATATGACTTAAAACTTATATTTCAACATAAACAGTTTCAACTTGATAAGTACAACACTGGCTTACCAAATTTAAGATTGTGTGCCGGGACATAACAGCATACTGAAATTTAAAAATCAGTCATGTTTACAGTAGATATATTTCAACAACCTGAAAAAAAAAAAGAGCTAGATCAAAACTTTGTTATTAGAAAACTTGCTGTTTACATTTGCGTGATTTTGTTTGTTAGGAATTAAGCACAAAGCTCCACAATAGGCTAGCTGTGCTCTGCCCACCACGGATATCGAAACCCGGTTTCTAGTGTTGTAATTCCGCAGACATCCCGCTGTGCGGTGGGGGTGGAGCAGTTGGGTGATTCAACATTTTAATTATTATCCACAAAACAATATATAGATACACAAGACATCGAAATAAAAAGTTTTAACAAATTAAATGCCTCAATTAATAAGTATTTATTTTGCTGTTGAATTGTAAATTTTAAATATTAATGAAAATAAGACTCTTCTCTGCTAGCCCTAGGCTTATTAATTTTCATGATTGTATATTTAAACTAATTGTCAGAAATAATTATTACTGCTTTCTCGACAAATTTACAGAATAGCTAAGGAGTAAATATAGAAAATATCAATAAAAAGTTACATTGATCCAAGAATTAAGAACTATATTGTTGCTAGCCGAAGAACAACTTTATTGTTATGAAAGCGTTCCTACTGAATGTTGAAAAACAATTTAATCGTAAGCTTTCGCCTCTGAATTTCATTGCATTACATATTTGTATTCACGTCAAAGCTACTACGCTTATTTACTGCCGTTATTAACTTTGAACTACTGACTGAAGGGAAGGCACACAGCCAATCAACAGTACCCTACCACCCATCATTCACCCTAAAGAATTGACTGTCACTCTTATAACGCACACACACAGCTTAAAGTGCAATGAATGTTTTATGATTTTACATAGCTTTGGACCCGGATGGTCAACTCTGAAATCCATATCTCTACCACATGGCCATTTCACGCCCTACATTACTTACACGCTTAGATATACTTAAAATTTCAGTGTTACACATATAAGATAAATAAATAAAACTAGGGTAGAAACTACGTTGTGGTAAAATGTATCTCAAACAGGGTCTACACAAAGAAGAAGGTGAAGCAGGTATCTATCAGATGTATCATCATACTTCCATGATATCTTATTATGAAATAAAAGTTTTGAAGACTGATAAAATAGAAAATGAAAATCATTTAAATAACACTTTAAATACTCAAATGAGTTGTAGTTAACGCTTACAAAAATTGTTATTTGCTTATCTAGCATTTTGATAGCCAAGTATATTATTTACATTATTGGGGTGTATCATAATATTGTGAAATAGTTACAGAACACTTAGTAAGTTGGGATGTACTCCTATTTCAGTATTATTTTACAATTAAACTTATTAAAGCACTGCTAACGTGTAACCTGTTATGATAACCTTTAAACATAGATTAAGTAGCAACAATCAGTTAAATTATTTCACGCAAAACACTTTCCCAGATATATTTCAAGTACATAGTTTTGATCTTTCACGATATAATTCCATGTATCTGAACAAATCATTGATTAGTCCAAATCATAATAAATCATGGTCTCCCCCCTCCATCACCTTTGTCTTCATTCCTATCTTTTGATCTGTGACGGGAGGGGGGGGGGATTTAGAAAAATTAACAATGCATTTCAACTCATGACATAATCTAAAACTCACATTTGACCTCAAGAATATATATGTGCTTCTGAATTAAGAAATTAAAGAAAAAATCTAATATGGAGATGTTTTCTTGCTTAAATATAGACTATGCATTACAAGAAATACAATATTTATTTTACGTTATTATTAGAATACTTTGGTTTAGTTTGGTTTGAATTTCGCACAAAGCTACATGAGGGCTATCTGCGCTAGCCTTCCCTAATTTAGCAGTGAAAGACTAGAGAGAAAGCAGCTAGTCATCACCATCCACCGCCAACTCTTGGGCTACTCTTTTACCAACGAATAGTGTATTAGAATACAATAAAATGCATTATAAGAACAATCACATATAATAAATAATTAAATGTAATATCTTTAGTTTATATTTATTTAACACTTTTACAGGTGATGTTAAATGTAATAACAAGTTCCCAATCAATATCAGGAGCTTCAACAAAGACGTGATACAAAAAAAAAACAACAAAATTATGTTTTTAACACATGTTATATTGCGAAAGTCCAACAATTATTGACGCAATACAAACTGTATACATCTGGATATACCTGATTTCATGTTTAATCATAGAAAAAGCTAAATAAATATACGGTTAATGTTGTGAATATAAAAAGAACCGACATCGAAATTGTACTTATTTAGTATATATCTAGTTTTTTGTATATATATTTTATTGAATATTTATTGCAACATCGATTCTAAACATTATTTTGTATGTTGGCAACTTTTAACATGTTAAGCTATACAAAGGGATATCTGCTCACAGTCGTCCATTACTTTGAGCTGAACGACCGGAGGGAAGACAGATAGTCAAAACTACCCAACAGCAACTATATATACATATAGATATATATATATAAATTGCGCTACTCTTACCTGGACTTAACCGTTATTCTTGTAGAGCACCCGCGGCTTCAAAGTGCGGAGCGCGTTTTTGCGGCATTGGGATATGAAAATTAACCCTTGGATTCACAGTTCTACTGCATCACCCACTTTTTTCACACTTTTCATCAGAATAATCGTCTGTTTTGACGCTCTAATACATATAGGAACTGTCTTGTTCTTCCTCAGTTTTGTAATTATGGAGTTTCACCAAGTACAGGCGGTTTCAAGCATCAATTATAATTTAGTGAATTGAAAGTGAGCCTCCTCCTTAAAAATGTTGTGTTTGTGCTTTTGAGGAAAACCGTTTTGTTTTAAATGTTTTAAAATGTACTTAAAACAGAAATAATTATTGGTAATCGAGTATTTTTCAAAATCATTACAGTTTTGTTATTTAAATATTTATAATTAAACACTTGTTTGTGATTTGATGTTTAGTATTTTAGAAAAGTAACAAAATACTTGTTTTGTTATAATGCTTACAAGAGTAAAGTATCAAACTAAATACAATGATAATTGATTTATCTCTTTACAAGGCTATCAATTTTCACTTTTTACTTCGCTGTTCACAAAATATACAAGCTAACTCAAGGTATCAACTTGGTTTTCTATTTATATTACTGCTAAATTGACTAACAGTTTGTGTAACATTCTCCAACAAATTCATAATGAACCATCTTTATCATGATTAATAAGCTGAGTTTAAGAACATAAGAGTAATTAAATTGTTTTGAGTTTCTGGCATGATTTTTCTTCCTCTACTTCTCAGCACTGTTCTCGTTCTGAACTATTTTCTCATTCTTACAGGTTCTACCTCCTCTTCTTCTTCTGTGAATGTGGCAATCTCCTAAGAAGACTTTTGTCCTTTCAAAAGATCCAGATTCACTTTGAAGTCAACCAGTCGAAGCGGAACACGCCTTTTCACACGCGTGGCCTTCAGATCGCAGTTATTATGGTTAAAAATCTTTAGATTCTATGTTATATGTATTATGATGTCAACCCTAGTAAGTCTTATGCGCCTTTATAGAGCACACAAATCCATATCTACTGAAGTTGAGGATAGCATAAGATAACTTGATCAGTGGAGACAATCCAAGATACCGTTCATTAGGCCAGAGCGTACATTCTCTATAATTCTGAGCCATCACTCCTAGGCGACTTCGAAATATTTTCATACAAATTACTAGGCAGACAGACTTTCCTTGCTTCTATAGCGAGGTAGGTTTGTAATGCTTTTCAATCATCAATATCACACATGTGGTCTTCCATATGATGCT